TATTGTTTGAATAACTTAATTTTAACTACATCTTAGAGAATATCTCAATAATTATATGTGATTCTACACTAAATTTTTGGTGAATGTTACGTATATTGGGGCTTTAAACATCTCTGTATAGAGTATAAATATTGAAGGAGATTATATTGAAAACTAATGCAATATGTCCACCAAAAGTCAAACCCTTAAATATGAGGTTCACAACTTATCAATCAGCCATGATATTTTTTTCAGGAGTCTCGGTGTAATCCTTTCTTTTGTTAATATTTTGCCCTGGTTTTATAGAATTTGAGTTTGGACTAGGATTATGTTGACACGTTGGTATTTTCTTGTTGTCTCTTGTAAGTCAACTTTTATCATCAGTGGTTACAAATATATTCCGAACATCTTGATATCGATCCATAACCTGAATCCTTTTGTTGTTCATGGTTTAGTTATTATGTAAACATTTTTCATAATTTGTTTCTCCTTGGCCGCTGATTGGTCAACTGAAAACACAGGTCATGTGTGACGTTTACAATGTTGATTTCTGGATGGTAAATTCCGACGGATTTTGGAGAAGAATTGGTTTTCAAAAGGAAACTGATATGCATAAAAATGATCAGGATTATCTTTGCAAATCTTTGCAAATATCTTAGCGACTAGTTACGGGAATTTCCTGGTAAACACTAACCGCAATGTCAAATTCAGCTGCAGAAAACTGCTGTTTAGCTAGATTAACTGAGCGTCAGACTAGCAAGCCAGAGTCCCCGGGTTTGAAATAAAAAATATCCTCTAACATCATGAATGACATCAAGCCCAATATGAGCGAGTTTACAGAAGCATGGTTTTGCACATTTTGTTGCTGCAATGAATATGACCCGAAGCAAAGCTTAGAAAAAGAAAACACAATATTTTTGCCAATCACCTTTATTTCGTCAAATATCAGTCATTAGCTATTAAGTTTGCTTCGTGGTAAAATAATTACACCAGTTTCTTGCTTGGTTTAAGATGATGGCGTCTCAATTATTTGTGCCATGGTTGTGTAGTAGGTATCCACACTGCAAATTAAAAACAAAGCACAGTCGAGTGACAATAGTTGTCAATAAAAAAACAGTATCTCACGTCACAGTGGAGTGACAATAGTTGTCAATAAAAATCAAAATATCTCACGTCACAGTCGAGTGACAATAGTTGTAAATAAAAAACAATATATCACGTTACAGTCGAGTGACAATAGTTGTCAATAATAAACACCATTTTACGTCACAGTCGAGTGATGTAGAAAGTCGCATATTACGTCACAGGTGAGAGATGCAGAATATAAGACTCTTTTCTATATGGGTATGTAGGATAGGGATATTCCACCCGAGGGGTCACAAAATGTGGTAAAACCCGAGGCTTGCCGAGGGTTTTTACCATATTTTGTGATCCCGAGGGTGGAATATCCCTATCCTACATACCCATATAGAAAAGAGTTTTTTTCTCTCATTTCTAATCTCATATTATCAAATATTTGCACCCACCTCGCGGTAGCCATCACTGGACGCCGCCATTTTTCAGATTTCTATTTTTTTCCTTGGGCCATATACATAAAAAATATGCTGAAATAGATTCTCCATCCCCGAATTTTGCAAACTATGTTTGCGGTCGAAAACATAATATGGACTTTGAATGTAAACATCCAACGTCAGTGTTTAACTGTTTTTTCTTCAAGCGGGCTGGGTCAAATACCCTGTCAAATACATCACCCAGAGACATGCGTACGCGTTCAAATATAGTGCCTTAAAACACGCAATAAAACAACACTTTTCTTTTTAATATTTACTATTGCTCAATGTATAATATATCATAAACACTTTTTACATCTTTGAACATGTTGGTCAAGTTATTAATACTACTTCACTGTCAATAGTAATCTTACAAATCTTACACATTTATGAATGGAATTCTTGGTTTGCTTGTGAGATGACGTCACTTACGTCACACATTTCGCGCCACACCGACAGGAGGAAAGTTAGTCATTGTCACTTTCAATCACACGTGGACGACGGCGGAAAGGCTCAGTCCCAGGGTTGGTGATGTTGATATTTATAAAACAGTTTTGTTAACACGAGCCTGCAAACAATGACTCCAATCGACTATGCGTGTTTGTGGATGAAGCGGATGACGAGGACATAGTCGATGAGTGCGCGGGAAAAAACTATGAATTACTCCGCGCGCGAGGCTTTATTACACAGGTGCCTGTGTAATAAACGTCTATCATGACCATGTTTATTGCCCTGGACAGGCCTATCTGACACAGGTGGAAATGAGAGAAAGTCGTATCTTACGTCACAGTCGAGTGATGTAGAAAGTCGTATCTTACATCACAGGCGAGTGATGCAGAAAGTCGTATCTTACGTCACAGTCGAGTGATGTAGAAAGTCGTATCTTACGTCACAGTCGAGTGATGTAGAAAGTCGTATCTTACGTCACAGTCGAGTGATGCAGAAAGTCATATCTTACGTCACAGTCGAGTGATGCAGAAAGTCGTATCTTACGTCACAGTCGAGTGATGTAGAAAGTCGTATTTAACGTCACAGTCGAGTGATGTGGAAGGTAGTATCTTGCGTCACAGTCGAGTGATGTGGAAAGTCGTATTTAACGTCACAGTCGAGTGATGTAGAAAGTCGTATCTTACGTCACAGTCGAGTGATGTAGAAAGTCGTATCTTACGTCACAGTCGAGTGATGTAGAAAGCCGTATTTAACGTCACAGTCGAGTGATGTAGAAAGTCGTATCTTACGTCACAGTCGAGTGATGTAGAAAGTAGTATCTTACGTCACAGGCGAGTGATGTAGAAAGTCGTATTTAACGTCACAGGCGAGTGATGCAGAAAGCCCTATCTTACGTCACAGTCGAGCAATGTAGAAAGTAGTATCTTACGTCACAGTCGAGTGATGTAGAAAGTCGTATTTAACGTCACAGGCGAGTGATGCAGAAAGCCCTATCTTACGTCACAGTCGAGCAATGTAGAAAGTAGTATCTTACGTCACAGTCGAGTGATGTAGAAAGTCGTATTTAACGTCACAGTCGAGTGATGTGGAAAGTCGTATCTAACTTCACAGTCGAGCAATGTAGAAAGTAGTATCTTACGTCACAGTCGAGTGATGTAGAAAGTCGTATTTAACGTCACAGTCGAGTGATGTGGAAAGTCGTATCTAACTTCACAGTCGAGTGATGTAGAAAGTGGTATTTAACGTCACAGTCGAGTGATGTAAAAAGTCGTATCATACGTCACAGTCGAGTGATGTGGAGACGTATCATACGTCACAGCCGAGTGATGTAGAAAGTCGTATCTTACGTCACAGCCGAGTGATGTAGAAAGTCGTATTTAATGTCACAGTAGAGTGATGTGGAGACGTATCATACGTCACAGCCGAGTGATGTAGAAAGTCGTATCTTACGTCACAGCCGAGTGATGTAGAAAGTCGTATCTTACGTCACAGCCAAGTGATGTGAAAAGTCGTATCATACGTCACAGTCGAGTGATGCAGAAAGTCGTATCTCGCCACAGTCGATTGATGTAGAAAGTCGTATCTTACGTCACAGTCGAGTAGCCAAAAAGTATTAATAGCGATGACTAACGATATTTTCACGTGGCAGCAGTCTAAAAAGTGGGTTCTTACGTCACGGATCAGTTGCAACAATAACTATAAGTGGCATTTTACGTCATCAGTGTAAATAGCGGCTTCTTATGTCATAGTAATATGGCAACAAGTCTCAATAGTGGCACTTACGTCACAGTCGAGTGGCAAAAAGTGTGAACAGTGCCATCCATACTGTCATAGTCACGTGGTAACAAGGTCACAAGGTCCATTTTACGTCATATGGCAACAAGTTAATACACCAATAATGAACTGTTAAAGATGAAACGTCACGGTCAAGTGGAATCAACAATTGTGAAATTCGGACATAAATATGAAGCAAACAAACTGTCTTTTATTCAAATAAGTCTTTCACTGCTATTCGATAGTGAAAGACAGACGTTTAAATTGATGTGTTGTTGAGAAAAGTATAGTCTGGACAATGCTAAATCAGTTGTCGGGATGTTTGTGTTGATTTTAGAAAGGCTGTGAACTATAAGAACTATAATTATCCTTCAATCTGACGGGTATGATCCTTTTTAATAACATTTCCTGATATTGTCCCCATCTAGAAATGATCGCTATTCCTCCCGTAACGTTGGCTGTACGGAGAGGAGAAGTTAGTTTGATGTGTATGGACACTAAATGGCTTCCTCAGATTCACATTAGAATCCCTAAACAGTTATTATACCAAAAGGTCCAAGGAGCCTGCACCTGGCTAATTTAGTTATTCAATAATTTAATAAAATATCAAATATGACAAAGAATTTCTGATATAATTTCCTTATTGCGTCCCGCCCTTGTGGTCAAACACCATTTATACAGAACGTTGTTCCACTTCACCCAAGAATACATCTGACCAAACTTGGGCGATATCTTATCGTTCCTAATGGAGAAGAAGGATTTTAAGAAATTTGCTCGATTTGCTCAAGTGGGCTCCGCCTCTCCCACCCCAGGGGCACTGAATCCAATGTTCATATACAATTGATTCCATTTCACCCAAGTATAGTTCGGACTGAATTTAGTTCAATCATTTCTACAGGAGGAGTAGAAAATTAAAGAATTTGCTCTATTACCCCTATAAGGGCCCCGCCCCTCCAAACCCAGAGGACCGAGCCCTACCAGTTATGCAAAAAAATGAATGCCCTTCACCCAACCATGTTCCAGGCAAAATATTGACAAAATCCAACCGTAATAGAATTAACAGGTCATGATAGCGAAAAGATTACAAAGGATGAAAAGACAGACTCTCATTAGATTGAACGAACGGACATAGAATGTGTCCGTGATTGAAGGCACTGTTCACAGAGGGGTAGACGAGAACTCACACAGGCCTTGTACGAATATAGGTGTGGCTGTGCTTGATAAATGATGGGTATCTAACTTGATGACTTACGCTCTCTCACATATGTATCTGTACTTGTCCTGGCAGTTTTCGTCCGTCCACTTGTAGAAGGATGACCCCTCCATGGCCAGACAATTGTCCTGCCCTGCATGGTTGTCAGGTTGATGACGATACCAATTGGTGTAGACAAAGGGAGCTCCCTGTGGCTCCCATGTCCATTCCCCTTCTGTTGTCCAGTCTGATCCTCCCATCCAGTATGTGTGAACGTCTTGGAGTGTACAATCCAAAAGTAGGTTTAAAGCATAGCTAGTTTTTAAGCTTTAGATAATGATAAGTGTCAAATAGATCAATAAATTAAATAAAAAAAATAATAAATAATTGTAAATATATATATATAAATAAATGAAAAATAAATAAATATATAAATGAAAAAATAAATGAATAGATAAATGCATTCAATTCTATTTATATAAAAACATTGTTTTTTTTCTCTCATTATTTATTCCCACAGAAATCTATAATGGTTTATTAATTCTTGTTGAAACAATGGATTTACAAAGTTCCCGATTCTTACGCTGCCTGAGAACAAGCAGTTATCTGAGGAAAGAAACATTGATTGGCTTTTCATAAGTTATTAAAAGATATCTGCATTCGAGTTTATTTTAGAGTTCATACTTACGGTTTTGAAGCGAGCGGATCATTGAAGCGAGAAAATTATCTTCGAATGCTGTTTCTACTCTCACAAGATAAGAACCATGAACTTCACACATCTTCTGTTAAAAACAAAAACAAAAAAGGTCGATTACTTTTGATGCAAAAAGAATGTGTGTTAAACTATTTATCTACAAAACTTATTAACCTTTATCATCAGCTTGTTGACAAATGTTGTGTGAACCTTCCGTCTCGTTATCTTAATTCAACTAGAAATCTTATATATTGATTAACATTAGACACAGATATATAATTAATAAGACACCCTACCCTGGTCTCTATAAGTAATACGTCACCCTACCCTGGTCTCTATAAGTAATACGTCACCCTTCCCTGGTCTCTATAAGTAATACGTCACCCTTCCCTGGTCTCTATAAGTAATAAGTCAACCTACCCTGGTCTCTATAAGTAATACGTCACCCTTCCCTGGTCTCTATAAGTAATACGTCACCCTACCGTTGTCTCTATAAGTAATACGTCACCCTTCCCTGGTCTCTATAAGTAATAAGTCACCCTAATCTGATCTCTATCAGTAATAAGACAACCTACCCTGGACTCTCTAAGTAATACGTCACCCTACCCTGGTCTCTAGAAGTAAGACATCACCCTTCCCTGGTCTCTATAGGTAATACGTCACAATACCGTTGTCTCTATAAGTAATACGTCACCCTTCCCTGGTCTCTATAAGTAATAAGTCACCCTACCCTGGTCTCTATAAGTAATACGTCACCCTTCCCTGGTCTCTATAAGTAATACGTCACCCTACCGTTGTCTCTATAAGTAATACGTCACCCTTCCCTGGTCTCTATAAGTAATAAGTCACCCTAATCTGATCTCTATCAGTAATAAGACAACCTACCCTGGACTCTCTAAGTAATACGTCACCCTACCCTGGTCTCTAGAAGTAAGACATCACCCTTCCCTGGTCTCTATAGGTAATACGTCACAATACCGTTGTCTCTATAAGTAATACGTCACCCTTCCCTGGTCTCTATAAGTAATAAGTCACCCTACCCTGGTCTCTATAAGTAATACGTCACCCTACCCTGGTCTCTATAAGTAATACGTCACCCTACTCTGGTCTCTATAAGTAATAAGTCACTCGACCCTGATCTCTATAAGTAATAAGTCACCCTACCCTGGTCTCTATAAGTAATAAGTCACCCTACCCTGGTCTCTATAAGTAATACGTCACCCTTCCCTGGTCTCTATAAGTAATACGTCACCCTACCGTTGTCTCTATAAGTAATACGTCACCCTTCCCTGGTCTCTATAAGTAATAAGTCACCCTAATCTGATCTCTATAAGTAATAAGACAACCTACCCTGGTCTCTATAAGTAATACGTCACTCTACCCTGGTCTCTATAAGTAATACGTCACCCTACCCTGGTCTCTATCAGTAAGACATCACTCTACCCTGGTCTCTATAAGTAATACGTCACTCTACCCTGGTCTCTATCAGTAAGACATCACTCTACCCTTGCCACTAATCCACACCCTACCCTGGCCTCTATAAGTAAGACATCACCCTACCCTGGTTTCTATAAGTAATACGTCACCCTACCCTTGTCTCTATAAGTAAAGCATCACCCTACCATGGTCTCTATAAGTAAGACATCACCCTACCCTGGTCTCTATAAGTAATACGTTACCCTACCCTGGTCTCTATAAGTAATACGTCACCCTACCCTGGTCTCTATAAGTAATACGTCACCCTACCCTGGTCACTATAAGTAATACGTCACTCTACCCTGGTCTCTATCAGTAAGACATCACTCTACCCTTGCCACTATAACTAATACCACACCCTACCCTGGCCTCTATAAGCAATATGTCACCCTACCCTGGTTTCAATAAGTAATATGTCACTCTACCCTGATATCTATAAGTAATGAGACATCCTATCAGTAAGACATCACTCTACCCTTGCCACTATAACTAATACCACACCCTACCCTGGCCTCTATAAGCAATATGTCACCCTACCCTGGTTTCAATAAGTAATATGTCACTCTACCCTGATATCTATAAGTAATGAGACATCCTACCCTGCTCTCTATAAGTAAGACATCACCCTACCCTGCTCTCTATAAGTAATACGTCACCCTACCCTGGTCTCTATAAGTAATACGTCACTCTACCCTGGTCTCTATCAGTAAGACATCACTCTACCCTTGCCTCTATAACTAATACCACACCCTACCCTGGCCTCTATAAGTAATATGTCACCCTACCCTGGTCTCTATAAGTAATACGTCACTCTACCCTGATATCTATCAGTAATGAGACACCCTTCCCTGGTCTCTATAAGTAATAAGTCACCCTACCCTGGTCTCTATAAGTAATACGTCACCCTACCCTTGTCTCTATAAGTAATACGTCACCCTACCCTGGTCTCTATAAGTAATACGTCACCCTACCCTTGTCTCTATAAGTAAAGCATCACCCTACCATGGTCTCTATAAGTAAGACATCACCCTACCCTGGTCTCTATAAGTAATACGTCACCCTACCCTGGTCTCTATAAGTAATACGTCACCCTACCCTAGTCTCTATAAGTAATACGTCACCCTACCCTTGTCTCTATAAGTTAAATATCACCCTACCCTGGTCTCTATAAGTAAGACATCACCCTACCCTGGTCTCCATAAGTAATACTTCACCCTACTCTGGTCTCTATAAGTAATAAGTCACTCTAGCCTGGCCTCTATAACTAATACCACACCCTACCCTGGCCTCTATAAGTAATATGTCACCCTACCCTAATATCTATAAGTAATGAGACACCCTTCCCTGGTCTCTATAAGTAATACGTCACTCTACCCTGGTCTCTATAAGTAATACGTCACCCTACCCTGGTCTCTAGAAGTAAGACATCACCCTTCCCTGGTCTCAATAAGTAATACGTCACAATACCGTTGTCTCTATAAGTAATACGTCACCCTTCCCTGGTCTCTATTAGTAATAAGTCACCCTACCCTGGTCTCTATAAGTAATACGTCACCCTTCCCTGGTCTCTATAAGTAATACGTCACTCTACCCTGATATCTATAAGTAATGAGACACCCTTCCCTGGTCTCTATAAGTAATAAGTCACCCTGCCCTGGATTCTATAAGTAATACGTCACCCTACCCTTGTCTCTATAAGTAAAGCATCACCCTACCATGGTCTCTATAAGTAAGACATCACCCTACCCTGGTCTCTATAAGTAATACGTCACCCTACCCTGGTCTCTATAAGCAATACGTCACCCTACCCTAGTCTCTATAAGTAATACGTCACCCTACCCTTGTCTCTATAAGTTAAATATCACCCTACCCTGGTCTCTATAAGTAAGACATCACCCTACCCTGGTCTCTATAAGTAATACTTCACCCTACTCTGGTCTCTATAAGTAATAAGTCACTCTAGCCTGGCCTCTATAACTAATACCACACCCTACCCTGGCCTCTATAAGTAATATGTCACCCTACCCTAATATCTATAAGTAATGAGACACCCTTCCCTGGTCTCTATAAGTAATAAGTCACCCTACCCTGGCCTCTATAAGTAATAAGTCACCCTATCCTGGTTTCTATAAGTAATACGTAACTCTACCCTTGTCTCTATAAGTAAGACATCACTCTACCATGGTCTCTATAAGTAATACGTCACTCTACCCTGGTCTCTATAAGTAATGAGTTACCCTACCCTGGTTTCTATAAGTAATACGTCACCCTAACCTGGTTTCTATAAGTAATACGTCACCCTACCCTGGTTTCTATCAGTAATAATTCAATCTACCCTGATATCTAAAGGTAATGAAACACCCTACCCTAGTCTCTATAAGTAATAAGTCACTCTATCCTTGCCTCTATCAGTAATAAGTCACTCTATCCTGGCCTCTATAAGTAATGAGACACCCTACCCTGGTCTCTATAAGTAATACGTCACACTACCCTTGTCTCTATAAGTAAAGCATCACCCAACCATGGTCTATATAAGTAAGACATCACCCTATCCTGGTCTCTATAAGTAATACGTCACTCTACCCTGGTCTCTATCAGTAAGACATCACTCTACCCTTGCCACTATAACTAATACCACACCCTACCCTGGCCTCTATAAGTAAGACATCACCCTACCCTGGTTTCTATAAGTAATACGTCACCCTACCCTTGTCTCTATAAGTAAAGCATCACCCTACCATGGTCTCTATAAGTAAGACATCACCCTACCCTGGTCTCTATAAGTAATACGTTACCCTACCCTGGTCTCTATAAGTAATACGTCACCCTACCCTGGTCTCTATAAGTAAAACGTCACCCTACCCTGGTCTCTATAAGTAATACGTCACTCTACCCTGGTCTCTATCAGTAAGACATCACTCTACCCTTGCCACTATAACTAATACCACACCCTACCCTGGCCTCTATAAGCAATATGTCATCCTACCCTGGTTTCAATAAGTAATATGTCACTCTACCCTGATATCTATAAGTAATGAGACATCCTACCCTGGTCTCTATAAGTAAGACATCACCCAAACCTGGTTTCTATAAGTAATACGTCACCCTACCCTGATATCTATAAGTAATGAGACATCCTACCCTGGTCTCTATAAGTAAGACATCACCCTTCCCTGGTCTCTATAAGTAATAAGTCACCCTGCCCTGGATTCTATAAGTAATACGTCACCCTAATAAGTAATAAGTCACCCTAATCTGATCTCTATAAGTAATAAGACAACCTAATCTGATCTCTATAAGTAATACCACACCCTACCCTGGCCTCTATAAGTAATACGTCACTCTATAAGTAATAAGTCACCCTACCCTGATCTATATAAGTAGTAATTCACCCTTCCCTGGTCTCTATAAGTAATACGTCACCCTACCCTTGTCTCTATAAGTAAAGCATCACCCTACCATGGTCTCTATAAGTAATACGTCACCCTACCCTGGTCTCTATAAGTAACTCTACCCTTGCCACTATAACTAATACCACACCCTACCCTGGCCTCTATAAGCAATATGTCACCCTACCCTGGTTTCAATAAGTAATATGTCACTCTACCCTGATATCTACTATCTCTATAAGTAAGACATCACCCTACCCTATAAGTAATACGTCTACCCTGGTCTCTATAAGTAATACGTCACTCTACCCTGGTCTCTATAAGTAATACATCACTACCCTTGTCTATAACTATAACACCCTACCCTGGCCTATAAGTAATATCACCCTACCCTGGTCTCTATAAGTAATACACTCACCCTACCTATAAGTAATGATCCCTGGTCTATAAGTAATAAGTCACCCTGCCCTGGATTCTACGTCACCCTACCCTTGTCTCTATAAGTAAAGCATCACCCTACCATGGTCTCTATAAGTAAGACATCACCCTACCCTTGCCTCTATAACTAATACCACACCCTACCCTGGCCTCTATAAGTAATATGTCACACCCTACCCTAGTCTCTATAAGTAATAAGTCACCCTACCCTGGTCTCTATAAGTAATATAAGTCACCCTACCCTGGTCTCTATAAGTAATACGTCACTCTACCCTGGTCTCTATAAGTAATACGTTACCCTACCCTGGTCTCTATAAGTAAGACATCACCCTAACCTGGTCTCTATAAGTAATACGTCACCCTACCCTGGTCTCTATAAGTAATACGTCACTCTACCCTGGTCTCTATCAGTAAGACATCACTCTACCCTTGCCTCTATAACTAATACCACACCCTACCCTGGCCTCTATAAGTAATATGTCACCCTACCCTGGTCTCTATAAGTAATACGTCACTCTACCCTGATATCTATAAGTAATGAGACACCCTTCCCTGGTCTCTATAAGTAATAAGTCACCCTGCCCTGGTCTCTATAAGTAATACGTCACCCTACCCTGGTCTCTATAAGTAATACGTCACTCTACCCTGGTCTCTATCAGTAAGACATCACTCTACCCTTGCCTCTATAACTAATAACACACCCTACCCTGGCCTCTATAAGTAATATGTCACCCTACCCTGGTCTCTATAAGTAATAAGTCACTCTACCCTGATATCTATAAGTAATGAGACACCCTTCCCTGGTCTCTATAAGTAATAAGTCACCCTACCCTGGTTTCTATAAGTAAGACATCACCCTACCCTGGTCTCTATAAGTAAGACATCACCCTACCCTGGTCTCTATAAGTAAGACATCACTCTACCCTGGTCTCTATAAGTAATAAGTCACTCTACCCTGGCCTCTATAACTAATACCACACCCTACCCTGGTCTCTATAAGTAATGAGTTACCCTACCCTGGTCTCTATAAGTAATGAGTTACCCTACCCTGGTCTCTATAAGTAATACGTCACCCTACCCTGGTCTCTATAAGTAATGAGTTACCCTACCCTGGTCTCTATAAGTAATGAGTCACCCTACCCTCGCCTCTATAAGTAATGAGTCACCCTACCCTGGTCTCTATAAGTAATGAGTCACCCTACCCTGGCCTCTATAAGTAATAAGTCACCCTACCCTGGCCTCTATAAGTAATGAGTCACCCTACCCTGGCCTCTATAAGTAATGAGTTACCCTACCCTGGCCTCTATAAGTAATGAGTTACCCTAAACTGGTCTCTATAAGTAATGAGTCACCCTACCCTGGCATCTATAAGTAATAAGTCACCCTACCCTGGCCTCTATAAGTAATAAGTCACCCTACCCTGGCCTCTATAAGTAATAAGTCACCCTACCCTGGCCTCTATAAGTAATAAGTCACCCTACCCTGGCCTCTATAAGTAATAAGTCACCCTACCCTGGCCTCTATAAGTAATGAGTCACCCTACCCTGGTCTCTATAAGTAATGAGTCACCCTACCCTGGCCTCTATAAGTAATGAGTTACCGTAATCGTTACCTCATTAGTTACGAATAAAACCTTACCAAAGCTTCAACCCATGAAGCGACGTCTCTACTGACGTGGTAGCAGGATTCTCCGTGGGCAGTCCATCCATTCGGACAGTTGGCCAGCACTGAATACAAACCAATATAGAAAAAATACAGAATTGTATGTTTGAAGATATCAACTAGAATTGTAACTTTTTATCAACGTAAACCTTTTTTACAGTATTTTTTACAAACACTTTATGATCAGTTTCGTTTGTAATTACGATATTTTTAATATCTATCTATTATAAATCCGATTTCTTATGCAATATATTGATTTAAAAACCAACCTTGTCCTAGAGTCAGGAACAACAGAACCAGACAGTACATTATAACGGCTGTCCTATCAGGTACCGACTGGAACACTCAACAAAACGGCAGACGTTACAATTCGGTTAAATCCGTCAATTTATGGAACAAAAATTGTTGTCTGACGAAGTTTGTCGAGATGTAACGATTGATGTAAACTGTTTTTACTGGGAATAAGCAATAGGGTATTTAAGTATTCGAATGACAATGAATCTTGACTTTTTCTTTGTTATTTAACTTTCTTGGTTTCACGTTTCAGTGACTTAGATAAGGCATGCGGCCGATATTTCGACCGGCTTATCAGTACTGACGATAAACTGTTCTACGCCTTATGGCACAAAATACATAGACTATTTTACACCAGTATCGTACAAACGGCTGATTTTTAAGAAAGAAATAAAAATGATAATAATAGTTATGATCTTAAAAGTTGAATCGTACTAGGTCAGTTTAAGAGCCAACGAACGCTTAGGTTCTGATGGTTAGTCTGTTTCATAACGTTTATTTCTTTTCAAAGTATGCTTCCATTCAACAACTTTTGAACACAGTTCAAGAACGTCAGGCAAACACTAATTTAAACAGTCCTTGTATAACGTCGGATCTGAGTTCAGCTTTTGTTGTAAATTGCTTTGTTTCATTATAAAACTTTTTTTCACTTCAAAAATCTAGGAACATCATGAGATTTGAAATATTTATTGATGTATTGTGACCTTGAGGAGTTGTGATTGGCTTAATGAAGTTTCCAATTGTTTCCAGTGCGACGTCATATTTGTTGTGACGTCGGAGTAAAACGAGATACAGAATAAAAATACCGCATGTTTAGATTTTGTTTCAGTCTAATAAATTGCTGTATTCACAAGTGTCCCAAGAAATATGAGTTATATGATCAAAAGTATTCGTTTCTGTATGGGTTTTTTTATATATAAATAGCCGAAAATAAACTGGTATACATGGATCAAATATCTAAAAAATCTTTCATTGTGTCTTCCAGACTTGTCGATATTTAACAACTCGGGCAACAGCTTAAAGTTACACAATCGCTGTGTTATATCGAAAGGAAACAGGATGTGGTAAATCTCTATCAGAAGTGTCATTCATTAAAAGTCACAATACACATCTGTAAACAATCTCTACCAGAGTTGTCGTTCCTTAATCGTCACGCTACGCCTCTGTAAACAATCTCTACCAGAGTTGTCGTTCCTTAATTGTCACACTACGCCTCTGTAAACAATCTCTACCAGAGTTGTCGTTCCTTAACAGTCACAATACACTTCTGTAAACAATCTCTACCAGAGTTGTCGTTCCTTAATCGTCACAATACACATATATAAAAAATCTCTACCAGAGTTGTCGTTCCTTAATCGTCACACTACGCCTCTGTAAACAATCTCTACCAGAGTTGTTGTTCCTTAACAGTCACAATACACCTCTGTAAACAATCTCTACCAGAGTTGTCGTTCCTTAACAGTCACAATACACTTCTGTAAACAATCTTTACCAGAGTTGTCGTTCCTTAATCGTCACACTACGCCTCTGTAAACAATCTCTACCAGAGTTGTCGTTCCTTAACAGTCACAATACACATCTGTAAACAATCTCTACCAGAGTTGTCGTTCCTTAATCGTCACACTACGCCTCTGTAAACAATCTCTACCAGAGTTGTCGTTCCTTAACAGTCACAATTCACTTCTGTAAACAATCTCTACCAGAGTTGTCGTTCCTTAATCGTCACACTACGCCTCTGTAAACAATCTCTACCAGAGTTGTCGTTCCTTAATCGTCACACTACGCCTCTGTAAACAATCTCTACCAGAGTTGTCGTTCCTTAATCGTCACACTACGCCTCTGTAAACAATCTCTACCAGAGTTGTCGTTCCTTAACAGTCACAATACACCCCTGTAAACAATCTCTACCAGTGTTGTCGTTCCTCAACAGTCACAATCTACCAGAGTTGTCGTTCCTTAACAGTCACAATGCACATATATAAACAATCTAGTAGAATTCTATAAGTTTGCTTTAGATGCCTTATTACCTGTTTTACATAAACTGTTCAACAAGTTACTAACCAAAGGTTATTTCCCGGAGAGGTGGTCGAGTAGTATTATATTACCCATCTACAAGAAAGGGGACCCTAATAATCCAGGTAACTATAGGGGAATATCTTTACTAAATGTCATAAGTAAGATTTTCACTTCTATTATCAATAGTAGACTTCAAACTTGGTCAGAAACATATGGCACCGTTGCTGAAGAACAAGCTGGTTTTAGGCGTGGCTACTCCACCATTGACAACATATTCAGTCTAAATAGTCTGGTCGAGAAATACTTATCGAAAAAGGGGGGAGTTTTCTATTGTGCATTCATAGATTTTAGAAAGGCCTTCGACCTAGTGAATAGATCCAAGCTGTTATTGGTCCTTCAGAGCCACAACTTTCAAGGTTCTATCCTTAATATTCTTAAGAGCATGTATCAGAAGGTCAAGGCTAAGGTCAAGGTCGGTGAATATTTGTCAAAAGAGGTGGTATGCAACTCCGGTGTAAAACAAGGTTGTATGCTCAGTCCTTGGCTCTTTTCATTGTACATAAACGAACTAGCTGATTTGATTCGGAAGGAAAGTGGTAGTGGTATTTTTGTGAACCAGATGATAGAGGATATATTCTTGTTACTATTTGCAGACGATCTTGCTCTAGTGGCTGATTCTGTAATAGGCTTACAAAGAAGACTAAATACTCTAGAAAAATACTGTAAAATATGGAATATGAGTGTGAACTTAGACAAATCAAATATTATTGTATTTAAAAATGGTGGAAAGTTATCCAAACACGAAAAATGGGTATATAAAGGAGCAGAACTTAAAGTTGTCACCTTCTATAAATATCTAGGAGTATTTTTCTCATCGAAGTTGAGTTGGTCATACTGCTGCAAATCACTTGCCCTACAAGCAACTAAAGCGTTAAACATGTTAAAGCATTGTTTGTGTAAAATAGGCAAAAGAGATGTTAAAATAGGTTTCAAACTGTTCGATGCTATGATCTCGCCAATCTTATTCTATGGTGCAGAAATCTGGGGAACTTCTCCAAATGCTGACATTGAAAGTGTACAGAACAACTTTTGTAAATTGCTATTATGTACTGGTGTGAAAGCAACAAACTGTATGGTAAGAGGTGAGTGTGGCAGATTAGAACTATATACATCATATATGTGTAAACCGGCCAAATATCTGATGAAATTATTCAGTATGGAGGACAACAGGTTACCAAAACTCTGTTATAAAATGTTACTGGTGCAAGATGCTAATGGAAAAAAGAACTGGTGCACCAAAGTGCGTGAAATGCTAAATATGCTAGGATTTGGCTATGTATGGCTTAATCAGGGGGTTGGTGATTCAAATATGTTTTGACTTTCACTTAAACAGAGAATGAGAGACGTAAATATCCAAGAATGGAACTCACAGTTAAATAAACCTGGCAAATGTAAATTTTATAGTAGTATTAAGGATGATCTGGTATGTGAAAGATATCTACTAATTAACTTGCCAATCCATCTCAGATTTGTTCTAGCCAACTTCAGATGTTCTACTCATGCTCTGGAAATTGAACGAGGGCGTAAACTTGGCATAGCAAGGGACTCAAGATTGTGTAATATTTGTAATAGGAAAGCTGTGGAGGATGAGATGCACTTCCTCCTTATATGCCCAGTCCTTTCGGACTTTAGAAAGGCTAACTTGCCACAGTACTGCCATTCAAACCCAGATCCAATGCATTTAGTAAGGCTTTTCAAAAGCACAGACGAGGTTATTCTGAAAAATGTTGCTATGTACATTTATAAAGCCTTAAAATATAGAGATGAAATTCTGCAGTTATGAATAAATATTTAACCTGTGTGTATAATTATGTGAACACATTATTTTGCTTCTACTTCATATCTGATGTGTCTATATATACATTGACAGTTTATATATACCAGTATATACTTAACATATGTGTTGACATGTGTATTGTAGCCAACTATATACTTAACATATGTGTTGACATGTGTATTGTAGCCAACTATATACTTAACATATGTGTTGACATGTGTATTGTAGCCAACTATATACTTAACATATGTGTTGACATGTGTATTGTAGCCAACTATATACTTAACATATGTGTTGACATGTGTATTGTAGCCAACTATATACTTAACATATGTGTTGACATGTGTATTGTAGCCAACTATATACTTAACATATGTGTTGACATGTGTATTGTAGCCAACTATATACTTAACATATGTGTTGACATGTGTATTGTAGCCAACTATATACTTAACATATGTGTTGACATGTGTATTGTAGCCAACTATATACTTAACATATGTGTTGACATGTGTATTGTAGCCAACTATATACTTAACATATGTGTAGACCGATGTATTGTAGCCAACTATATACTTAACATATGTGTTGACATGTGTATTGTAGCCAACTATATACTTAACATATGTGTAGACCGATGTATTGTAGCCAACTATATACTTAACATATGTGTTGACATGTGTATTGTAGCCAACTATATACTTAACATATGTGTAGACCGATGTATTGTAGCCAACTATATACTTAACATATGTGTAGACCGATGTATTGTAGCCAACTATATACTTAACATATGTGTAGACCGATGTATTGTAGCCAACTATATACTTAACATATGTGTAGACCGATGTATTGTAGCCAACTATATACTTAACATATGTGTTGACATGTGTATTGTAGCCAACTATATACTTAACATATGTGTAGACCGATGTATTGTAGCCAACTATATACTTAACATATGTGTAGACCGATGTATTGTAGCCAACTATATACTTAACATATGTGTAGACCGATGTATTGTAGCCAAATATATACTTAACATATGTGTAGACCGATGTATTGTAGCCAACTATATACTTAAAATATGTGTTGACATGTGTATTGTAGCCAACTATATACTTAACATATGTGTAGACCGATGTATTGTAGCCAACTATAT